TTGGAATTCGATTACACGGGAAGCCTGTGGGCACTAGGGTTGGATGAACCCATGGGCCGGTTCCGATCCGCCCTAGGGGCAAAGAAACCAAGGGGGGATGGGCCCAAGGGTCGGATGAAACCATGGGCCGGTTCAAATCCGCCCTTGGGGTCGAATGAACCGGCTGGGGGGTCGAATAACCGAGGGGGGATGGGATCCTGGGTTGGATGAACCCATGGGCCGGTTCAAATCCGCCCTTGGGGTCAAATGAACCGGCTGGGGGGTAAAAGAAACCGAGGGGGGATGGGCTCTTGATTTGGATGAACCCATGGGCCGGTTCAAATCCGCCCTTGGGGTCGAATGAACCGGGTGGGGGGTCAAATAACCGAGGGGGGATGGGATCCTCCTGGGTTGGATGAACCCATGGGCCGGTTCAAATCCGCCCCTGGGGTCCAATGGACCGGCTGGGGGGTCAAATAACCGAGGGGGGATGGGATCTTGGGTTGGATGAGCCCATGGGCCGGTTCAAATCCGCCCTAGGGGTCCAATGGACCGGGTGGGGGGTAAAAAAACCGAGGGGGGATGGGCCCAAGGGTTGGATGAGCCCATGGGCCGGTTCAAATCCGCCCTTGGGGTCAAATGAACCGGCTGGGGGGGTCAGAATGGCCGAGCGGGGATGGGCTCTTGAATTGGATGAACCCATGGGCCGGTTCAAATCCGCCCTTGGGGTCGAATGAACCGGCTGGGGGGTCGAATTACGGAGGGGGAATGGGCTCTTGGGTCGGATGAAACCATGGGCCGGTTCAAATCCGCCCTTGGGGTCAAATGAACCGGCGGGGGGGTCAAATAACCGAGGGGGGATGGGATCCTGGGTTGGATGAACCCATGGGCCGGTTCAAACCCGCCCCTGGGGTCCAATGGACCGGGCGGGGGGTAAAAAAAAACCGAGGGGGGGTGGTCCCAAGGGATGGATGAACCCATGGGCCGGTTCTAATCCGCCCTTGGGGTCAAATGAACCGGCTGGGGGGTAAAAGAAACCGAGGGGGGATGGGCTCTTGAATTGGATGAACCCATGGGCCGGTTCAAATCCGCCCTTGGGGTCGAATGAACCGGGTGGGGGGTCAAATAACCGAGGGGGGATGGGATCCTCCTGGGTTGGATGAACCCATGGGCCGGTTCAAATCCGCCCCTGGGGTCCAATGGACCGGCTGGGGGGTCAAATAACCGAGGGGGGATGGGATCTTGGGTTGGATGAGCCCATGGGCCGGTTCAGATCCGCCCTAGGTGTCCAATGGACCGGGTGGGGGGTAAAAAAACCGAGGGGGGATGGGCCCAAGGGTTGGATGAGCCCATGGGCCGGTTCAAATCCGCCCTTGGGGTCAAATGAACCGGCTGGGGGGGTCAGAATGGCCGAGCGGGGATGGGCTCTTGAATTGGATGAACCCATGGGCCGGTTCAAATCCGCCCTTGGGATCAAATGACCCGGCTGGGGGGTCCCTAGGGTCAATCTTGGCATCCCATGAACGCATAAACAGGTTGCCCCAAACGATGGCAACCCAACGTAATCCATGCCATAGGCCTATTAATACCCCAGCAAAGGGGTATTTTTCCTCTCCCCATCATTCGGCCATGTGTTTTCGGATTGCCCCAAACGACGGTAACCCAACATAATCCAGGTCATAGGCCTAGGAATACCCTAGGGAAGTGGTATTTTTCCTCTCCCCATCATTTGGCCATATGTTTTCGGATTGCCCCAAACGACGGTAACCCAACGTAATCCAGGCCATAGGCCTAGGAATACCCTAGGGAAGTGGTATTTTTCCTCTCCCCATCATTCGGCCATGTGTTTTCGGATTGCCCCAAACGACGGTAACCCAACGTAATCCAGGTCATAGGCCTAGGAATACCCTAGGGAAGTGGCATTTTTCCTCTCCCCATCATTCGGCCATATTTTTTCGGATTGCCCCAAACGACGGTAACCCAACGTAATCCAGGTCATAGGCCTAGGAATACCCTAGGGAAGTGGTATTTTTCCTCTCCCCATCATTCGGCCATGTGTTTTCGGATTGCCCCAAACGACGGTAACCCAACGTAATCCAGGTCATAGGCCTAGGAATACCCTAGGGAAGTGGTATTTTTCCTCTCCCCATCATTCGGCCATGTGTTTTCGGATTGCCCCAAACGACGGTAACCCAACGTAATCCAGGTCATAGGCCTAGGAATACTCTAGGGATGGGGCATTCTACCACTCCCCATCACTTGGGTTTCGGTTCTTGATTGCCCCAAACAATCGTAACCCAACGCAATGCAGGCCATTGGCATAGGAATACCCTGCCTAGGCTTTGACCTTGATGGTTCGATCGATCCGGACCCGAATGGGTTCGATACGAATGGGGCCGGTGAATCCGGATCCGGATGGGTTCGATCCAAATGGGTTCGATCGACTCGGATCCGGATCGATTCCATCCGAATCGGTTCGATCGAACCGGATCCGGATGGGTTCGATCGAACCGGATCCGGATGGGTTCGATCGATCCGGATCCGGATGGGTTCGATAAGGATGGGTTCGATCGACTCGGATCCGGATGGGTTCGATACGAATGGGTTCGATCGACTCGGATCCGGATTGGTTCGATCGACTCGGATCCGGATCGATTCCATCCGAATGGGTTCGATCGAACCGGATCCGGATGGGTTCGATCGATCCGCACCCGGGTGGGTTCGATCCAAATGGGTTCGACCGACTCGGATCCGGATCGATTCCATCCGAATCGGTTCGATCGAACCGGATCCGGATGGGTTCGATCCGGATCCGGATGGGTTCGATAAGGATGGGTTCGATCCGAATGGGTTCGATCGACTCGGATCCGGATGGGTTCGATCCGAATGGGTTCGATCGACTCGGATCCGGATTGGTTCGATCGACTCGGATCCGGATCGATTCCATCCGAATGGGTTCGATCGAACCGGATCCGGATGGGTTCGATCGATCCGGATCCGGATGGGTTCGATCGACTCGGATCCGGATGGGTTCGATCGGCTCGGATCCGGATGGGTTCGATCGATCCGGATCCGGATGGGCTTGGGTCCGAAAGGGTTCATTTGATCCGGATCCGGACGGATTCGATCGATCCGGACCCGGGTGGGTTCGATCCGAATGGGTTCGATCGACTCGGATCCGGATGGGCTCGATAGGGATGGGTTCTATCCGAATGGGTTCGATCGACTCGGATCCGGATGGGTTCGATCGATCCGGATCCGGATGGGTTCAATTGATCCAGATCCGGATGGGTTTGATCCACACGGGTTCGATCGATCCGGATCCGGATCGGCTCGATAAGGATGGGTTCGATCGACTCGGATCCGAATGGGTTCGATCGATCCAGATCCGGATGGGTTCCATCCGAATGGGTTCGATCAAACCCATCCGGGGTCCGATCCGGATGGATTCCATCACTTGGGTTCCGGGGACTTGATTGCCCCAAACGACGGTAACCCAACGTAATCCAGGTCATTGGCCTAGGAATACAGGAGGGAAGGGGTGCTCTACCTCTCCCCAACCCTTGGCACGGGCCATCGGATTGCCCCAAACGACGGTAACCCAACGTAATCCAGGTCATTGGCCTAAGAATACGGGGGGGAAGGGGTGCTCTACCTCTCCCCAACCCTTGGCACGGGCCATCGGATTGCCCCAAACGACGGTAACCCAACGTAATCCAGGTCATTGGCCTAAGAATACGGGGGGGGGAGGGGTGCTCCACCTCTCCCCAACCCTTGGCATGGGCCATCCGATTGCCCCAAACGACGGTAACCCAACGTAATCCAGGTCATTGGCCTAAGAATACGGGGGGGGGGAGGGGTGCTCCACCTCTCCCCAACCCTTGGCACGGGCCATCGATTGCCCCAAACGACGGTAACCCAACGTAATCCAGGTCATTGGCCTAAGAATACGGGGGGGAGGGGTGCTCCACCTCTCCCCAACCCTTGGCACGGGCCATCCGATTGCCCCAAACGACGGTAACCCAACGTAATCCAGGTCATTGGCCTAAGAATACGGGGGGGGGGAGGGGTGCTCCACCTCTCCCCAACCCTTGGCATGGGCCATCCGATTGCCCCAAACGATGGTAACCCAACGTAATCGGGGTCATTGGCCTAAGAATACAGGAGGGGAGGGGTGCTCCACCTCTCCCCAACCCTTGGCTCGGGGCATCCGGTTGCCCCAAACGACGGTAAGCCAACGTAATCCAGGTCATTGGCCTAAGAATGCCGGAGGGGAGGGGCTCCTTACCTCTCCCCAACCCCTGGCATGGTGGAACCGATTGCCCCAAACGACGGTAAGCCAACGTAATCGAGGTGGTTTTCCTAAGAATACTGCAGGGGAGGGGTGCTCTACCTCTCCCCGACCCCTGGCATGGGTCATACGGTTGCCTCAAATGACGGTAACCCAACGTAATCCGGGTCATTGGCCTAAGAATACCGGAGGGGAGGGGTGCTCTATCTTTCCCCAACCCTTGGCATGTGGGCATAGATTGCCCCAAACGACGGTAAGCCAACGTAATCCGGGTCACTGGCCTAAGAACAACGGAGGGGAGGAGTGCTCTACCTCTCCCCAACCCTTGCCACGGGGAAATCGATTGCCCCAAACGACGGTAAGCCAACGTAATCCAGGTCATTGGCCTAAGAATACTGGGCGGGAGGGGTGCTCCACCTCTCCCCAACCCCTGGCATCTGGGAATCGATTGCTCCAAACGACGGTAAGCCAGCGTAATCCGGGTGGTTGGCCTAAGAGAATCCGGGGGAAGGGGTGCTCCACCTCTCCCCGAACCTTTGCAAGGGTCACTCGGTTGCGCCAAACGACGGTAAGCCAACGTAATCCAGGTGGTTAGCCTAAGAAGGTTAGGGGGAAGTGGCTTTTCACCTCTTCTCACTAATCTTTGGGTAGGACGGTTGCTTGAAAAGTCGGTAAGCCAAGGTAATCCGAGGCCTTTCCGTAGTAATAATTCGGGGAGAGGAGAACTGGCCCTCAAACCACAAGCAAGGCGGATTACCTAGGTATGAAGTCGAGCTTGTCATGAGGTCCTATGAGGCACCGGCCCGGGCCACGGAGGGCGGCACTCTGTGATCCGGGGGGGAGCGTCCCGTGAGACGTGCGCATGGACTCTCTTCGGAGGGTTGGTGCGCACAGGCCCCAGCGGAGGGGGCGGGGAGCTCTCCAGGTGCGGAGGATCACCTGGTAAAATGAAGGGAGATGGCACGGTGGGGGGAGATGCCCTGGCCAAAACGAAAAAGGTGGCGAGAAAGGCAGGGCCGGCTCTGGCTAAGATTCAATGCAGAGCACCGATCATTCGAGGAGTCGAAAGGGCAACGGGAAACCGTTGCAGGTTGGCCAGTTCAGCTACCCCGCGCCCTCCTTGGAGGGCGATGGGTAGA